GAGGAGAGAGAGAGAGTGTACAAATAAGTGGTACAAAATAAGTGAGAGAACCCCATTAAGCTTTGAATCAACCATGTGTTTGTGTGTCTTGGCAGACATTCGTGTGAAGGTGTGCATGCGTTGGTATTTTTATTAATTTTCAATAGTTGTTAGAAGATTATAAATAGTACTTATGATTGCTTACTACCTGTTGCTGTTACTCTCTGTTTCTGCTCACGTATTTCTTGATTTTCTGTTTCTGCTCAGGTATTTCTTAATTTGCCGCCATTATGAAGCAATTGAGATTTTTTTTTTAACTGTTTTGTAGGTTCTCAAAAATGTCAGCAGAATCTCCTTCACTTGGGGGTCGGCCCCTTGAACAATGGAAGGTCACAGAGTTAAAGGACGAGCTTAAGAGCAGGAAGATAACAACTAAGGGATTAAAGGAAGATTTGATTAGGAGGCTTGAGCAAGCTATCCTGGATGATCAAAAGAATGCAATGGGCAATGGGATTAATCCCGAGGGCGAGGTTGAGATTAGCTGTGGGGCTGCAGAGGTTAACAATGAGGGGCTTGAAAATAAAGAAGAAGCTAGTTCTTTTGAAGCCGAATCAAGCGAGAAAGTAAATGAGAATGATGGTAAAACTGATCCTGATGGTAGTATCAATCAAGGAGAGAGTGATATGGTTCCAGTGACAATTGAGAGAAGTTCTCAAGTGATTGACAAGCCCCCATTGGATGAAAAAGCCCCAGTAATTGAAGACAGTGGACAAGTTCATCAGGAAGTACCAAGCCATGTGGATGCTATCAAGGAAGATGGGCCAAAGGATAACATCAGAGAAGGTGAGCCAAAGTTTGCTGAAGGTCCAACAGCTGATGTCAAAGAATCCAATTTGTCCAAGCCTATCAACGATGTACCCAAGAAGGTTAGCCAAGTTGTAGAGTTTCCACTAAATTCTGATTCTCTTTGTAATGATTCTGTGGCTATTAGGGACACAACTGAACTAAAGGATAATTTGAATGCTGACAATGTCAATTTAGAATCAGAATTTGTTAAGCCGGGGTTGGTGCCACCATCACCTGGTGCTGTTGAGTCTTCTGTAGGTGACTTGGATTTATCGAGGGATCACGTGCAAGCTGAGGAGCAGAGTAACGTCGATGAGATAAAAGATGATCATGTTATGGATATTGATTTGACCAAGGAGCAGAGTACCATTGATGAGGTAAAGGATGATAATGTTATGAAGGCTGATTTCACCAAGGAAAATAATGTTAGGATTGCTGGTTCTTCAAATAATCCGCCTCTGGGTGAAAATTTGCGAGAAGAATATTTGGACAAAAATTTGTTGGAGAGCAAGAATGTGGATGTTATCTTGAAAGAAGAGGACGAGAAAAAGGATGTTGTGATGCTAGAACCTCTTCGTGCTAAAGAGGAAAATGTTCCTGATGTCATGGCTGTCGAGCCTCCTGTGAAAATGGCTGATGGGAGTAACAACTCAGTTCTTATTGGTGACAAGAGGAAAAAGGAAGGTAGGTTTGTTTTTATTTTTTTAGTGGACTATGCTATGTCTTTTGCCTTTGGCTTGTGCTTATAGTTTCTCAAACGATACTTTATGATGTTTCAATCACTACTTGTAGCTCTGCTTCCTTGCTGTTCGGTTTGCCAATTCTTGCTAGTTGCAGTTGCATTCAATCTGTTGTCAACTGTATTGATGTTGTATTGTAAAAGAATGTTATGTATGAACTTAAAATTTCCAAACTTGCTATTTCAGAAGCATATCTTAAATGAGGATCATGATCTGAAATTCACTGGATGAATATGATAGGATGACATCCAAAATTTGTTTATAACCATCTTTATTTGTGTGCCGATAATATTGCTCTTGAATGTAGTGTTTTAGAGAATTCTATTCTAAATCATCGAATTGATATTCTATTGATTTCTAGCATACAATTGACTCTGGCTGTTGAATTGTCAAAAACTGACGTTGACATATGGACTTCTTTTTTTGGGGGAGGGGGAGGGGGGTAATTTATGTTTCATGTTCGGTTTCTGGTGTTTGCAGATCAGGAAGAGGAAGTGACACCTGAACCTACTAAGAGGTTGCGCAGGTGGAACAGTGGCAACGAGGCTGTTATTTCTCCGCGTTCTGGTAAGGTTCAAAGGGAGCCTTTGAAAGTCAATGAGGTTTCCCAAGGTTCCCCTACAAAACCACAAAATCTTGATGCTCTGACTCCAAGAGAGAAGCCAAGAACTCCAAAGCCGCTGCTTTCCAGGTCTGATTCCTCAGTCAGTGAGGATGCACCAAAAGAACGTGTGGGTAAGAAAATAAGAACAGCTTGTTACATTAGTTGATGTTCATTTGTAAATGGTTTCTACATGCAATCCCAATATAAATTATAGATGCATTCACTTATAAAAATTATCAAAAGGTTCTTGATAGAAAATTTTAAATCATGTTTTTTTTTTTGAAATTGTATGTTAATCATGCTGATTTGTAATACATATTTCTACTTTCTCTTCTATGTAATGCATTTTATATTTTGGTTGCTTTTCTCCATACGGGAAAGACCACATATTTTGTAATCATATCACTGTTGATAATTAGAAAGATGACGAGGAAAAAAAATTGGTAGTTCTCCATTTAGCTTGCAGGTGTTATGAGGTTTAGGGGATGGTGAAAAAAATGGCGGGTTTGAAGATAGGAAGGTGGGAGCATGGGAAAGAAGTTATGTGCATGAGGTATTTCAGATTTCATTTGAGAAGACTTTGGATGGGGGACCTCTGTTTCCTGTTGTTATTATTTTGGGTATCAGTAAAAATTCATAAAATTAGTTAAAAGAAGGGTAGGGAACAACAAAAACACTTGCGGCTTGACTTCACTATATAAACTGCCTTTGTATCCCCAGTATGTGCTACAAATCAGTTTTTCTTTAGCTTCTTAAGAAGTTTGAATTGGTGAGGTTGAGTTTGAAGTATTGGCTTTTGGTAGGTTTTATTCGTCAGGAGACATAACTTTAGAGGTGATTAGAACATGCGACTTTTTGTCACTTTATGTCATGATGCCATTTGGGAGTATGGAGGAAGGAGAGACCTTTTGATTAGCATTCCGAATGCAAGATGGATTATGTGACGTGCAGTAGAACTAGGAATGCCTTGGATATGATGGTCTAAGATATTTTTTTGGGATATGGTTGTAGGAATGGGCTAATTCAGGTATGGTGAAAGTCCCTTCACCTCTACTACTCAGGAAGTTACAATGGGGTGGGGTTGCTCTGTGTATTGATTTTTTGCTCAGGACTTAAGGAGCATAGTTGGAAAGGCCTTCTAAGGGGTACGTTTTGGGCCAGTCTTCAGCCTTGTTACAGGTGAAGCTTGCAGCAGATGTTTTTTTCTGCATGGTCTCTGGTGCAGGTGTTTTAGAGCGATTCTTTAATTGAGATTTTGTATATTTGCTTCCTTGACAGCAATCCGTGGTTGTTGGATTGGTTACCTAGGATTCAATCTTGAATGTCGTGTTGTGGCCCTTGACATCCTAACCCACAAGCCAAGTTTCCTAATCCCAATCGTTCAGCTGTGTGTGTGTGTGTGTATTGAGGTCATACATACATGCATGCATGCATGCGAGAACCCTTTGCTTGCAATCCTTTCAGCACTTCCTCCATTGGCACTGGCTTTGGCTGTACTATCGGCTTTAAGGTTGGCCTCCTGCCACATATGTTGTGTACATCCCTTCATATAGGTCCAAAGGCATTTAGTTGGTACCAACGGCATGGAGAGGTCCTAGCAGCCCAAGCAAGAATGTTTTTGGAGCCCCCCTCAATAACTAGAGAACCTGACCGTGTCGTGCAGACTTGTTTGATCCCTTCCAGTAGAGCGACGGCCTCCGCAGTAGTGGAGCCAGCTGTTCCAATGAAACCTGTGTAGGATAGCAATATGTTGTCTTCGTGGTCCCTAAAAGTTCCCCCATAGCCACCAGGCCAAGGATTGCCGAGGGAGCATCCATCAAAGTTTAGCTTGATACTTCCTTGCTCTGATTGGTTTCATAGGGATGACCATGGGATTCGAGATTGCCTTCTTTCCAAAACAGCAAGCCAGTTTTGGAGAAAATCAGAGGTCGCTGAGTGTTTGAAGTGTTTGGAATTTTTCGCTCAAAAGATTACCATAGTTCTATTTCGATCCATTGCTGCAGTTGCGTATTCCACTTGGCTCAAAATATTCTCTGGTTTCTTTTGTTCCAATGGCCGAAAGGGTGGCAGCCACTGTTGAACGCCAAAGGAAGAGACTGGCTGATTGCCACCCTAAGATAAGGAGGGGGACGGAGGATGGGTGGCCCAATTCCAATTGAAGAGTTGTACAATATCAGCCTGTAAGAGACAAGACCACTTGCAGTGAAGGAACAAGTGGTTGTTGGATTCAAGCTCTGATCTGCAAAGGTTACAGCAGTTAGCGATAGGAATGCCTCTAGTTTGTAACTGGTCAACACTGAGTACCCTTTGGAGGATGGTGAACAACAGAAATTTTGCATTTTGGGATGGGGGTGTTTAGGATCCAAGCTCAGGTAGCTAAAGGGACAGTAGGTGGAAGAGATGGAGAGGAAAGGATTAATTTTGCGTAAGAAAACACTGAGAATTTTCCATTTTGTTTGGGCTTCCAAATGATGGTGTCATTACTATGGGCAGGTAGGTATGGAGTTTGCAAAACATAATTACTAGAAATGTGAGAACAGTTTTGTCTTCTTGATAGTTGACTTGTTATTGGTTTTTGTTTGTTTTTTTGAGTAACTATGATGCACTTTTCTGTTTGAATTATTATTACCTACTTCTTTGGTGAATATTAAATGCCATGTAACAAACTCAAATTTGCATATTTGAACTTTGTTGAGGTATTTATTTTTTATGAATGTTTTGAACTTTGAACTTAATGACATCATTAGAAATCATGGAAGAATATTTAAATTTTGAAGCTATGCTTCAGTAATTTATTTTAGCATTGTAGCACATGTTCGAATATTCAACCATCATTAGTATATGTTGCTAATCTAATGATATAGCCTAGGAAATCAAATGCATCTTATTTTTACCTGGGTTGTGGTCCCAGGGTGCTTGACTGGTAGTTGATGTTCTTTGTTCCCTGAACTTGTGTTGTGTAGTTTTGATACTATTTATCTTTTGGCTGCCATGATGTAATCATTACATTTGACTCTTGCTAGGTGAACTCCTATTAAAAGGAGCTAGGGTTTGCCTTGAATTCACCTGTAACTATCCTTTTGTTAAAAACATTTTAACTAAGGCGTGTCATTTCATTAAGTTTAACTTCATCTAGAATGTTACTTTTACTTTCTGTCACATGAGAAGATCAAAGGCTGCATTTTTTTTTAATTGAGGCTTAAATGCAAATTTATTTTTGTGTAGCTTAGTGTGTGTATGTATATGGGGCATGCCCCAGCAGGCTGTATTACTAACTAGCTTTTTGTGATGTGTTACTGAATGATGTCTTCAGTGCCTCCACCACAGAGGTCTCCTACAACTTCGTTGAGAATTGATCGGTTCCTACGCCCATTCACTTTGAAAGCGGTGCAAGAACTTCTTGCGAAGACTGGTACTTTCTGCAGCTTTTGGATGGACCACATCAAGACTCATTGCTATGTCACGGTAACTCATTCCTTCATCTCATTTTACTTTCTTAGATTATAACTATTACGCTCTTCATTGCTGGGGCATGACGGACTGAGGAAGGGAGGGTCTCTTCGAATCATTTATTGATCCTAATTTTATGAATACAATGTTAACTTTATCAAAAAAAATTCTGAGTGCACACTTGTCTTTTGGATCTGGGCTATGAATGTTTGTTGAGGCTTCTGAGATTGAGACCCTTGTTTTGATCTTGCTGATGGACTTGTTCCTGATGAGGTCTTCTTGTGTTGAGATGTCAATGTTCCCAGACAACGCCACCATTTTCCAAAAGATATCTGAACCTTGATTATTTGCTGATCATTTAATTGACTTCTTGGAACTAACTGGATACAACCTTTAAATACTCTCGAATTAGATAGTATTTGTAAATACTTTTGAAAGCACCTCTTGTTTTTAATTGACTTTCAAACATCCAGTATTCATTGAAGCCCCTTATACTTGATCAGGGAGGGAGGGTGGGTGAGTGGGAGGGAAATCGTCTGATTAATGTTGTTCTCTTTTCCATTTTGAATGGCTGATTACTTGCCTTGCCTTGATCCTTACCAGTATTCCTCTGTCGAAGAAGCCGTGGAGACTCGCAACGCTCTCTACAACCTTCAATGGCCACCAAATGGTGGTCGCCTCCTAACTGCTGAGTTTGTCGAACCTGAGGATGTCAGTGTCCGAGCCAAAGGCGAGCTTCAATCCCAACCTTCCACTCCTTCAAACAATCACCCAATTCCCCAAACTACCCCTGTAGGGGTTGTCCCAAACACCAAAACTGCCCCCATTAAGGGTCCTCAGGTAACAGAAGAACTCCCTCCTCCACCTCCACTTCCTCCACACTTGGGCCAAAAGCTTACATCTTCTTCTCTTCCACCCCCACCTCCTCGTCCCCCTGTCTCTCATCCTCTTGAGAGGCTTCCCCCTCCTCCTCCTCTCTCTCAAAGGCCACATGCGCAAGAGAGGCTTGTTCCCCCACCTCCTCCAAGGAAGCCTGAACCACCACCGCCTACATTGGATGACCTCTTCAAGAAAACTAAGGCAACTCCTCGCATCTATTATTTGCCCTTGTCGGATGAACAAGTTGCTGCCAAATTAGCGGCAAGGGAGCATGGTGGGCGTGGCCGAAATATTACCTCTGGTGGTCGAGCTAGGAACTAGGAGATCCATTCGAGTCAACGGGAAAGGCTTGTCATAACCAAATGTAAGTTTTGCTTAACTTTTATTGTTCACTCTTTTGGGGCTCTTACTAATTTTCTCTAGCATCTTGTTGTGTCGATCCTTTTTGCTTTCCCAAGCATATTCCTTGTGTTTGTAGAGTATAAGCATGGAGTGTCGGAAGCTTTGGGTGTTTGGTCCCAATGTTTCCATTTTGGGTCTTGTTTTCTGATGGGTCAGTTTTCATTCATGCTGGTCTTCAATTTCTTTATTAAACTCAACAAGTAAAGGTATCAGCTGCTAGCTAGCTGCTAATCTGGTGCTCAGTGTGGGTGCTCTGTGTTATGCCTTCTGTTGCTCTATGAAGTATTCATTTGCTTTTATGCTTTCTTCTCGGAATAAATTTTCAGCAATGGAGATAAGAAATTTAGAGTACCTGGAGCTAGTATCTGGAGTTTATGCATTCGCTGAAGACTCTATGAGCTGAGCTTCTGGTAAGTTTTAGTACAATAGTAACCTTTTCAATTGAGATTGGACCTCTTCTTTATATGGTTAAATTTGATGACACTGGTTTGGCTTTGTGGTAATATTCAGTGGAAATTATAACATAAGAAATGTCTGTCATAAAGTGCCTTTATGAGTTGGAAATATTGTGGTCTTCTTTGGCAAATTGAAACATTATTGGAACTATAATGTTTGATAATAGTTGTGGCTATGCATTATTTTTGCATCAAACATGTCCTGCTCTTATGAGTTTTGTCATCATTAGTATTTTCTGGATAGAAAATGTATTTTGCGAAACTTCTAGATAGAAAAATTTAGAAACCCACTTTTAGCAATGTCTAAAAGGAAAAAGTTAATATATAAAGCATTAAGGCGTCAACCTTATATTATAAAAGTAAGGTGCACCGTAAAAACCCATTGATAAAAGTTGTTCCGATGCCCAAAACCCTCAAGTTGATCATCTCAAGCGGTGGCAGATTCCCTCACACCAACACCAAAGGGGTGGTGAAAGGATCTCCTTCTATTGGAGATAATCTCCATTTCCATGCTCTTCACTTGTGGTAGTCGTGCACTTAATCGCTTTTTGCTGTTACAACCTGATGCACACCTGTACTGGTTTTCTCCCTGTTCTGGTTAATCCTTCTCCATCCCTCCCTCCCCCCGCCCCCCACCCCTCTCTCTCTAGCTCTTTTGATATTTAGATTTTGATCTATTATGTCTCTTGGTATGGTGAATAGTTTCTGTTCATTTTTTTGAAAGAATTACTCCAATGGAGTTGTGGACAGTGTATTAGCCGAATGGTTTTTTGATGATAACCACTGTATGTTTGTTAGCCAAGTAGTCTCCGATAGCCAACGAGCATGTATTACTACCACAGGGCCGCTCTATACGCTTACCAGGCGACAATCCTATTTAGGAGGATTTTTTCGATCTGAAATTTTACGATCCACTTTAGAATCATTGGAGGAATTTTTTTCTCACAAAAGAAAAAGGATTTTGAGTTTCCTAATCACTGGGTCCTGACCATCCAAAAGTTGGACGCTTTCTGTGAGTCTGTTGAATCATCTTTTTGGCATTTTTTCCAGGTGCATATAGAGTGCGTGTGTTTTTTGGTCTGCTTCCAGGTTAAGGGTCTTACATCCCCAAAAATTTGGGGGTCCCCAAAAACACTTATATAGGGTTTTTCTCTATGGGGGTAATTTATGAGCTCATACAATCTTTTTTTTTAGTTTTTAAATTTCTGTATTTTTTATATATTTTAGGGGATAGTTCAGCAATAGAACATGACCTTGAGATGTAGTGTTGTTAATGTCAATTGATAACCACTGAAGCCCACTCCAGATATGCAGTACGATCTTTCAGCATAACGAATGTTGTAATTGAACTTCAATCTGATTGCAAATAGCTGCTTGTTGATATACTTATTGTATTGTTTCCTTCTGGCAGCAGAGCCTTGAGGTACTTGAGGAGGTTGGTAGCTGGATCATATATTAGCATATATTCAGGCCTTGTACAAACTGTGTTCATCATTCAGAACCTCCTACATTTTTATGAGATACTTTATGATGTGTAAGTTGGCGGGAATCAATATCGTTTAAGCGGTTTGTGTTGATATCGAGTATTTATTTCCCATTTTGTCATTTTATAGGTTTTTTTTGTAGTTTTCGTTTTTTGGGTTCTTTTTTTTTTTGGGTTCGGATGACCCTCTTGCTTTTATATACGAGTATATAGTGTACTGCATCATCATCATCTTCAACCTCAAAGCCTTTTCGCAGTTAATTGGAGTCGGCTATATAATCGTGGTCCACAATTCTACCTTCTTAGCTCATTTCAGTTAACATGCAAGCATACTGCATATTAACACTATTTTGTAAAAAAAACTTGCTTAGGAGGATTTTTTTTTTCCTTTTTACTTAAATTTTGGGATGACTTCAGAATGAATGCTTTTTAAAAAAAAATTAATAAAATGGAATTTGAGTTGTGACCGTTCAAAAAAAAGATCTTAGTTCTGACCGCTCAAAAATAAACATTTTATGTTTATTCTTGGATTTTCTTTATGATGGGTTGTTGTTGGGTTGATGAGGAAACATTCCAGGCCTTGCAGATCCTTCGAGGTGGGGTTTAGCTGGGGAAGTGAATGTGTAACATCCTCCCATTTCTTCATTGGAGACTGTTTTTGTGTTGGAAAAGCAATTGTGAAAAAGAATTTGACCATCTCGACCTTGACATTTATGGATTTTGACATGTATGGATGGAGGTGGGAAAAGAAATGGATTTAAGGAAAGAATTGTATTTTGTCTTTTGTTAAAGTGTTTTTAAGGGGTGTAGTTTGTATAGAGCTTAGGCTCTAAACAATCAAATTAGAGCATAACTTCAAATACTGTTAAGAAGTGTGGTTTCAATATTGAAAATCTTTTAGATAGCTTTAAAATATATTTTCATCTTTATTTATAAAGTTTAAAGCTTCAAAAATAATGTAGATGGAGAGATCTATGAAAACTTGAAAACTTGAAAATTGGTGGTACAAAATTGTGTTATAAAATGTACCATTTCCTAAATTTGAAATCTATTTTTTTTTCTTTTGTCCGTGCATCTTTATGTCGAGATGATTAATTTGAGGATATTTGTGCATCAAAACATCTTCTAGTGAGTTTTTTGAGGTGGGTTTTAATTTAATTGTTTAAAGGCTGGGCTCTTATAAACATTTCCCTTGTTTAAATATTTGTTTCTATCATCTTTAAATTTCAAATTTCAAATGCCATAAGCAAAAATAGATTTCCAGATCATTAGTAGGGATTTTAGAATGCAGGTTTACTTTATATTGGAATGCCTAGAGCTAACCGTGCTTTTTTTAGGTTTGTTTTTTTTATGCATATCAAGATTAGATGGATTCAATATTTTTTATTTTTATCAAAATTTTGAGAAAAATAAAAAATACTTGATCCATCCGATCTTGATCTTGTGGTTATTTTTGTTGGTTTTCCTTTGGATTCCCCAATTAGTTTTGTTAGTTGAAATGGTTTGATAAAAAGGAAACACAAGGACATGGACCAAGTGTCAGAACTTTTCAACAATGTGATGAAAAAAATGGAAATTTTCGACAATGTTATGAAAAAAACGGAAAGAGAGAAATAAGTGAAATAAAGTTTTGAACCATAGACACGGATAGTATAGACTGCCAATATTCTCTCTAATATAAATAATGAGGAATTTTATAACGGGGATGAGAAATGGGGAAAATACATGAATATAATTGATCCCATCTAGGAATATGGAATCCGAACAAACATGCTTTTGGAGGTACTATAAATGCATATTGACCTTAGACCTTGTAATACCCTTTCTATAGGCATTGTTTTGTGGAAGTGTCAACCTTAAATAATCAAGTAAGGTACATTTCAAACCTTACCCAAAAATATAGTTCAAGTGCAGGATTGATTGAAAATCTTTTTTTACTCGTACTTTTTTAAAATTTGAAGCTAAAAAAATAATGCAATTTAAGCATATCTATAAATACTTAGATATCTTGAAAATGAGTATCTAGATATTGCATTATAAGACGTACTATTTTGTTTTCTTGAAATCTTGTTTCTTATCCATACATCTCGATGTTGAGATGATCAATTAGAGGGTTTTTCCATGTTGGAACAAATTTTTTTCCATAGGTTTTTTTAGGTGCACTTTACTTGCATATTATAAGGTTTACTCCTTATATGAACTTTTTGATACTTATAATGGTATTCCTTTGTGTGTCTTATAAGTAATGATCCAAAAATATGTAGTATTGCATTCTTCCCCAGACTTTGTGATGGAATCAGTCAGAGCGAATGGCAAAATCGAAACTCTTAAGCAGCTATAGCTGAGATCTTTTAATTCCATACTTCTATATCATTAACTTTTATCAGTTTCTCTCATTCTCTATTCATTTATCACTCTTTCTTTTGAAAAATGAAATATTCTATGCCTATTTGAAGCTTGGAAACCTCTATCCTTATTTTAGGGTTCCTCTATCTCTTCCTTCCTCTGGTACATAGACCAATCATATAGTTATTGCTTACTAAAATCCAATTTGCCTTCTTTCTTTTGAGAGCATATACTATGCTTCCGCTGTAGCATATTGTAGGTCTATTCCCTCGGCTAAGAGACCCAATTGGGAAAAATTTTTTAATCAGAAATTTTGGGAACCACCTACGAATAACTTAATGATTATCTTTAAAAAGAAATTTGAAGTTGAGTTTCCCAATTCTTAGATCTCACCCTCCAAAAACTGGATGGCCTTTTTTCAATATGGAGGCATTATTTTTTTTAAGCCCATAGAGAATCCAATTTGGAATTTTTTTCTAGGGAGATTGGTATGTGATGGAAGAGGTTGCATCCCCAAAATATGAGATCCTAAAGTTAATCCTAGATTTGTTTAAATTTGAGAGAGTAAATAGACAGTATACTCTGATGCTCCCATGAAAGCCTAATATATTCTGGCGTTACTTTTATATCAAGGCATTTTAAATATGGATATGGATTCTCTACATTAAATTGGACATCTCTATATCATTTTTTGGTAAAAGAACCTTTTACAAATTACATACGACCACAATATTTCTGAATTTTTTGACAAGTCAATGCCTTGCCCTCTATACCATTTCTCTGGAAAATCAACAATTGACCAATTCTAAGAACCACCTCAACCTAATCTAGAATATGAAATGTGGACAAGCAAACATTTATTTACTTTCATTTTCCTGAACAAAATGATGTTACTATCCCTCAATTTTTCAAGACATCGGGAAAGGGGCTAGGTCATGGTGGTAGCACCCCTATAATTAGTTATCACGTCGTGATTTTCAATCTCACTAACACCACCCATGGACATATTCGAAAAGCTAACTTCTAATCTATTTGACAAAAAACGGCTAGAGTATGTCTTCCTCACTGAATTACCAAAAAAAAAAAGAAAGTATTCTACAAGATGCATATCAAACATTGCAGTACAAAACCATGTCCGGGTGATATTCCATCACAATAGCAAAAGCAAAAACAATGGAGAAGCATAGTCATCATCATTGTCAAAGTTTTTTTCCAACTAATTGGGATCGGTTGCACAAATTTTGGTACACCATTGTGCTTTATTAGGGGTCATACCGTTAATTTGGTACACCATTGTGCTTTATTAGGGGTCATACCGTTAATGAGGCCATACGTTCCTATATCTTTTCTCACTACTTCCAACCATGTCTAATGGAGAAGCATTATCAAAACTACAATTTTAAAACTCTAAAATATGAACCATGACACTAAGAAAGGTGGATGTATGATATATACTATTGACACAATATTAACTCAAGGATAAACCCCAAAATATCATTTCAATTTTTTACCATAAGAGAGATAGAGGACAATCTGCTTTGGTAAAGCGAACTTAGGTGTGGACTATTTGGAAGGATCAATTAATGCATTATAGCATATTGTACATTTACTCTGTAAAGCAAAATAGCTAGTTGGGTGGGTACTTTAAATTTGAAGTTTTGGATCCATCTAAGAATCATCAATCGATTATCTTTAAAATTAAAAAAAGAAGAAGGGAATTTTGAGTTGTTTAACACTTACATCTTGCCTTTTAAAAATTTGACAATCTCTTTTCAATGGGATATTATTTTGTTTTATCCGCATACATACAGTGTCCAATTTGATTTTTATATCCCCAAATTTCTGGATGTTAAAAATATTTTTTTTGGGTAGAAGATGTTAAAATATTCACCTGTGGGGTTTTGCCCGAGAGAGTAAATGAACAATGTGCTTCTTCAAAGAGGTAGAATCGTTTTGTTTTAACAATTTTACCATCAAATAAAAAGGCACCAAAACATAATAAAATCAACAAGTAGCACTAAGACTCCCATTGAAACATTAGAGAGGGGATTCTCACCCTAAATTTTATTGTCTCTCTTCTTTGGTACCCATGTTTAAGAATCTTAGAAATTAAGCACTCGCTAGATTAGAACATCAAATGGGAGACCCTCTAGGTGCTCCCATGTAGCATGCTCTTGCAGGAGCACACTGTACATTAACTCTCTCGTGCAAAAGAGATATTTTGGAAGATTTTTTTTTGTTTGAATTACTGTGATCTAATAAATAAGGAAAAAGTTTATATAAAGATGCCACCTTATAATGTAGAACTACGGATGCCCCTTAAAAGTCCATCGGAAAAGGTAGTTTTAATGTTGAAAAATTGATTATCTCGACATCGAGATGCATGACTATGAAAAATAGAAATATTTTAAGTCTCAGAAGTAGTGCATTTTACAACATATTATCTACACCATCCATTTTCAAGA